AGCTCAGCTCAAATGCTATTTTCCCCAAAAGACCTTCCAGTGACATGCCATCTTGACTATAAAGGGGACGGTGATTGATCTGTTACATTTAAAACAAGGCAATTTCTACATGGATAATATATTTAACAAAGGTCTTTATTTATTTATTTATTTATTTATTTTTCGAGTTGGAGTCTCACTCTGTCACCCAGGTTGGAGTGCAGTGGCATGCTCACGGCCACTGCAGCCTTGACCTGCTGGGCTCAGGTGATCCTTCCACCTCAGCCTTCCAAGTAGCTGGAACTACAGGCATGCACCACCATGCTCAACTAATTTTTTTTTTTTTTAATTGTAGAGATGAGGTCTCGCCATGTTGCTCAGGCTGGTCTTGAACCTGTGAACTCAGGCAATCCTCTTACCTCTGCTACCCAAAGTGCTGGGATTACAGGTGTGAGCTACTGTACCCAGCAAGGTCTTTATTTTTTAAGAAAATTATAATTTATGACACATGCTTAAGTAGTTGTAAGATACAAAACCTGAAGCCATTACCTACAACCATCAATCTAGGTAAAGGACACACAGTTCCCAAAATACTTACCCAAATCTCTCTTCAATTTGAATACTCTTACTCTGATAAAAATCCTTTCTTGCCCTGGTTACCCCTAACCACTCTGAGGAGACTGAGATAGGACATCTTTATCTCCTTCAAGGCCCAACTGGAGGGGCCTTATGATGCTGAAGCTTGGTGTGTTTGTTCTAAACTGAAACTCATTAGCATGCCTTTTCATAAAAACTACGGGAAATTGTTTTAGTCACAAGATATACCACAGATTATTCTTTGAAAAACATCTGTGGTGTAATGGGAGTAATTTCAAAGTCAGGAGTTCCAGCTCTGCTGTCTCTCACAAGACTTAATCTCATTTGAAAAACCAGGTTTTCCAAACAGGTTTATGGTGAGAATCAATAAGCTAATCAATGTATGTGAAAGCACTTGTAAAACTACAAAGCCTATACTACATTTTATGAAGTACCTGTTCCAAATGTGAACTCATATTTCTAACTTTTTTCCTTAGGAAAATTCAACTATGAACATGTAATAATATTTTTAAAATGTTCTTTTGGCTTAAAATAGTTTCTTAAGAAAGAATATATGGGCCAGGTACGGTGGCTCAAGCCTGTAATTCCAGCACTTTGGGAGGCCAAGGTGAGAGGATTGCCTCAGCACAGAGGTTCGAGATCAGACTGGGCAACTTGGTGAGATCTCACCTCTACAATAAATCACAAAAACTAGTTGGGCATGGTGGCGTCCATCTGTAGTTCCAGTTACTTGGAAGGCCAAGGTGGAAGGATCACCTAAACTTAGTAGGTTGAGGCTGCGGTGGCTGTTTGCGTGCTACTGCATTCCAGCCTGGGCAACAGAGTGAGACTCCAACTCAAAGAAAAAAGCTGAAAGAATATATGACTATATTAAAAACATTAAAGTTTAGGACTAGATAGTAAAAACACATGCAAGGCAAATCATTTGATGTGAAACTGGTATATTTTAAAATTTCTAGAAACATCTTTCTGTTCCTATTAATATACTGTCCCTATCAATAAACTCAAAGGAAATCAACACAAAAAAATTCTCAGAACTCAAGGTCATTTATTCTGTGCCTCAGTAACAAAATCATTAATATGGTTTACATTGGCCCACTTCCTGGCTGAAAGAAAGGTAACAAGTCTTAGAAATAACAAGTCAAGCTCAAGTAATAAAAGAAAGTTTTACATCATATATTTACCCACATTTGGGTTGCTATGGACTCTGCTGATGAGATGAAAGAATGTGACATTTCTTAAAAAGATCAACATCAAATTCCTTTTGTTACTCTGGAATCAATATTGACCATTTATAAAATTTTCTCTGAGCAGATATCTCACTGAAAGTTTTACATCTGACAAAGCAGTAGCACCTGAAAGGGATCAATTTCTGCTTGAACAGTTAACTCTGACACCTCTTCCATATTTTACTAAATGGAAGGCCATAGAATAAAATTTAAAAAATGTTTTTCTTCCAATATTATTAAAAGGTAATATAAGTATTTTGCAAGTTCTATATCAGCATGAGATAAATTAGAATTAAATCAGAAATGTAAGAGTTAACAATTGGAAAAATAAGCAAATTTTCTATCTTATCCAAGAAAAGATCATGTATAAACACATTCAACTATGTTAAGACCATAAAATACAGGCAAAATGTGTAAGCCTTAAACAAGAACTGCTTATAACACAAACAGAAGTTTTATGTCCTGAGACTTCTAAACAGTTCCTGTGACTTCATTAGTTTTGTCAGAGATAGAGGCATATTTTGAGATTGTGCATGTTTTCTATTTTCATTACATTTAAAATAATAACATTTATTGAATTACACAATAACGTACATTTATTGAGTGCTTTCCTCAAGCTAAGCACAGCCTTAAGGCCATAGATGCGTTATATTTAATACTCTCAACAACCCTATAAGGCAACCAGTAATTAGGTAATGTACTCAAGTCCACATAACTAGTATGAGCCAGGATGCAACCTCAGATTGTCTGACTCCAAAGCCCACGTTCCTAAGCACTGCATTAAACTCGTCCATGATGAAAAAGGGTAACACAAAGAAAAGGATAAACTGATTTTTATTTTTCAGTTCCAGGCTCTTACATCAAGTATCTATCTAATAACTACATTGCTCTGCTGCTTCAAGATCTATTCCTTTTGTAAAGAAATAGCTGAGCTCGATGGCTCAGCCTGTAATCCCAGAGCTTTGGGAGGCTGAGGTGAGTGGATTGCTGGAGCCCACAGGTTCGAGACCTGGCTGGGCAACTTGGCGAGACATCTCTACATAAAATAAAAAATTAGCCGGGTGCGGTAGTGCTCGCCTGTAGTTCCAGCTACTTGGAAGGCTGAGGCGGAAGGATCGCTGCAGGTCGAGGCTGCAGTGGCCGGGAGCGTGCCCCAGCACTCTGGTCTGGGCGACAGAGTGAGACTCCAACTCAAAAAAAAAAAAAGAAAATTTACATAAGAAATGGTATGTAGATGACATCAAAATCCTAAACAAACAAACAAACAAAGGAACACCTTATAGGTAAGCGAATGCTATAACAGAGTTTAAAACAAAAGTTGAAAGAAACATTCCTGGGGGAATTAGTACCACGACACCTGGTGGGGTGCAAATCAGTTTTCAGATTAAATCATTCATTATAAGTCTACAAGACAGTGCTTGCCACTTGAAGACATTTCAGTTTTGTGATACCTGTACCAGTTTTCCTTTGTGGAATGAAGCCAGACAACCAAATAATGGAAAAATCTGGTCTTCCTTTTTTAACTAATCAGGGTTACTTCAGAATGTTTGGAATTTTGACAAATTAGAACACCTAGCTGAGTCATCGCTCTCTCTGACTTCTTTTGTCATAATTAAAGTATGCACAGACCCAGCCAATTAGTGCCAAGCACAGCGAAGTAAACCTTGGTCCTGAAAGGACATTTGGAATAAGTAAGGCATTTTAAAGGTAGGAAACCCGCCCCCACAAACAGTGCAAGAAACCCTATTTCCAAAAGTTACCTTAATATTTGTAAGGCAGTAGTGTTAACATTGTGATAGATGCCTTTTCCACGACCCCAAACGAAGGCTGACATAACTGCCAGGCCCTTTCCCATTACAACATGGTGCTACTTTGCAACCACGACACATGTTTGCAATAATAGTGGATATTGACTGAACACCACGCGCCAGGCCCAGTGGCAGATGCCTTACAGGTCCGGCTCTTGACGACACCTCTTTGAGGTGGGTGCCCTCACGCCACTGATTTTACAGATGAGAAAAGTGACACTGCGGAGTCTAAGTAACCCACCCAAAGGCAAACGCCGCAAGCGGGCAAGGACATGAACTCAGGCCAGACCTCGAAGCGAGCGCATCCGACCGACTTCTCCAGGCTGTTCTCGAGGAAGAAGCGAGTCCCTAAACCTCACAGAAGTCACTCGACCACCCGTCTTGAGCACACGAAATGTAAAGGACCCAAACACGCTTTGCCTTTTATAACTTTAAACAAAGGCCAAGACGTAAGGTCTCCCTGCTCCCACAAAAAAATAAGGGCGGGTGGGGAGCAGGCAAGAGCCCGCTTACGGCGCAGTAGGGAGACGAGGGGGCTGGAAGCCTATGAATGAAACCAAGCTAAGCTGGAGGCGCAGGGCCCGAAAATTCTAGAACTAACAGAGCACAAAGCCGACCAAGAAAGCGAAAAGCAAGTCCGCAGCAGCAGAGGGACAGGCGTCGACAGGGCGCCGGGCAAAGGCAGCTGTCACGACCGATGCCACGGCTCATCGGGGCCACGCGAAACGAGACGGAGACGGTCGGGACCGAGTTTACGGGCCAAGCCCACGCGGACTGCACCCCCTGGTTTCCAGACTCTCACGCTTCTCTCCTGAAATGGCTG